ACAGCAGAGCGACATCCTCGACTTACTCGCTTTTTCTTTTTAAATCTAAGATTTGAAAATGTTTAATAATCTATAATATATCCTAGACAGATAAACCATCTTCGCTCAGAATCGTTTTTCGTATACAATGATATAATATCATTGGATTCAAATTTAATTCCATCCATTACAGTAACCCCACTTGTAACCTACTGTACAGCAGAGCGACATCCATTTTCCCGCTTTTTAACCCTTGATATTCACAATAATAGTGTTTTGTGACAATTTTATTCAAATTAATCAAAATCACAATCAGATATATGATCTTAAAATATAAACCATGAAAATGACATTTCTCAGATTTTATTAGGATAACTTACCCAGCACTTTCAACCAAAAAAATAAAGAAAAAATTGAACCCAATATTTACATCCAAAGCTATAATCATTGCAAATTCGTCTTCTTTAGTTCCCATACCTACGATGTTTTGACATACCAATTTTTATTTTACGTGTTTTACCACACAACAAATTAAGGTATCAACTAAGTATTCAATTTATCACTAAGCAGCGCTAGATGGCAAACAAACCTGAGGACGTGATGTCAAGCGAATTAAGTGCAGCCACGGCGGACCCTTCGATCTCGCGAATTAACGACCCATCGAGCGCCTCCCAGAACCCTATATACCGGTTAGTGCCACTCGTCAGCAGCTGGGTAGCGTTTGGGTGGTACATGGCACTTGTAAACACGGTCGTCGAAAACATTATTGACAACCGCGTGTACCGGACTATGTCCCACACGATGCACGTTCCATCTGCACTGGACGTGATCGCCTCGTGGTCCAGYTGGTGGAGATTGATAGACGTCACCGCACCCTTGTGCTCTTTGAGCACCGCGAGTAGGATGCCATTGGTTCCGTTAACCTGCCACACGCGCACCTGCCCATCACCACCACCACTCACCAACTTTATACCATCCTTGCACATGGCTATAGCAGACACGCCATTGTTATGGCAGTTGTGTATAGTGTATAGCAGCCGACCAGTTTCCGGCGTGAACGACCGAATACGGCCGTCATTCCAGGAGCTTATAATCTGTGCACCGTCGTGCGAGAAGAGTACGCCAGAACACGTGCAGTTCCGGATGGTTACCCGTAGCAATTCTTGGAGCGTGTCCACTGACCAGACACGTACATCATTCTTGCTAGCAGTCGCGAACACCTTGCTGTAGTCATGTGGGAACGCAAGGTCGTACACAGCAGACGTGTGACACGTGAACATGCGTGTCACTGYGAACGTGGCTACGCTTACGGTGAACAGCTCACAGTTTACTGTACCGACCAGCACGGTGTGGTTGCCCATCAGCTGTATGCTAGTCACAGCTGACTCAACGTCCGCTGACATAACAGCCACTAGCAGCGGGTGCGTAGGTGTGGCCAGCCGCGTCTCGACCTTTTTGGAGAAATGCTTCTGCTGCTGCTTGAGCTGTATCTTTTGCCGGACCAGTTCAATGACGCCGTTTCCTGATCCCACGATCATGGTGCCGTCGTTTCCGTAAAGCCACAGTGATGTTACTCCCTTGCTGTAAAGTTCAACAGTAATTCCGGGTGGTCGCTTTTTTCTGGTGGTCGGGTATTTGGCGAAGCAACCGACCAACGTTGGCGACACGGATGGTTTCTGCACATCCATGTCCACCGGAAAGTTCAGCTTGATCTTGAGCACGTCTCCAGTGCTAGTGCCGCAGTATGCATACTCATCTAGGCAGTCGACCTCGGTGCACAGGATTTTTCGTTTGATCTTGGCAAACGACGTATCTAGCCCCTGCAGATTTCTCTGCTCCTTATTCAACGTCCACAGCCGCAGCATGTTGTCCCCGGCTACTATGAAGCACTTGTTGCGTGAGTTCATCGCCTTGAGCACAGTCGATATGCCAGCAGTTGATTTCACAGATAACGAACCGCACAACACCTCTTTCTTTTCAATCTCGTACACGATTATCGTWCCGTCATCGATGCCTCCTAGTGACATCAAGTACTGTTCGCAGCAAGAGAATGCCACTGACTCGACGCGCACCATATGTGACTCGTAGTTGGTCACCACCTCACCGGTCTGGAAATTCCATATGATGATCGGCGATCTGAAACCCATATAGTTCACCTGACCGGCTGCAACGTATTTCCCAGTGTTGGACACTGTTACCGCCGATATAATGTTGGTCAGCCCTACGAAGAATCGTTGCTCCTTAGTCGACCAATTGTAAGCCGTAACGTTGGTACCAAGTGGATAAATCAGATGGATACCATTTGGGTGCAATATTAGACCGTTCAATGGATTTCCGTCAAATCCGATCAGTGACTTCAATTTCAAGTCCTGCACGTTAATTTCTTCCATCTCCTAAAACTATACAAAAACAAACAAAAAGGTATTTATGGTATAATTGTACCAATTGTTCTGCTGTATTGTATTGTATTGAACTGTTATTAAGTTCTGTAAACGTATTATTTTACATTTTACTTGATGTTTATAAATCTATGACAACTAAAATATCTAAAATAAATAAAAATATAATAACAATAATTTATTGTCTAGGTTCCTACATGAATAATGTGTGTTGAGTAACTGATTAGATATKTTTTATCGAGAATTAAATATGTGATATTAAAAATTTGAAACTTTGAACATATGTTTATCCAAGAATAAAATATAAAAACTGTTTTATTTCAAGAATAAATAATATAGCGTAATGCTGTAATAATAAAATCTCATCAAGTGTCATGTATAATTGTCACTCAATGCACATTTATAAGCTATATTGGTAGTAAGAATAACTAACATGCTTCAAATGAATTATAATTTAAAATTTAAATTACATAGTAGTAATAGCCAATAAAGGTATCTATATAATATTCTCTTTAATTTTAAACTAAATGACGTGTAGTACATACAGTATACACTAAAAACAACTATTTCAGAATTTTAATACTCTAAAAATGTTATGTTTTATATAAATTAAATGTTTTTGAAATGGAAAAAATAAATAATTTGACATAAAATTAATTGAATTTTATCTTTTAATATGAGYGTCACTAATTTAAATATTAGATTATATAGATAACATAAAAACTGCTCACAAAAAACCAATAATCAAATACTTAAATAGTTTGGAAAAAATTTATTGTAACGGAACCGCCGTTGGTAAATCTCCGCCACGTTAAAGAAACTATAACACTCGGATGATTTCAGGTAATTAACGTATCTTTATTTCTATACATATTGATATGCAAGGTTTGGGGATGATGGTTCACTTCCGCGTGACCGTATGGTATGATCCACGGGGTCGAGACCACCTTGACAATGGAGGAAATGATTTGTTTATTTACAGTTCGGGAAGGTCCGGGTGGATACGTCCGGCCCGCTCAAGTAAGGGGCGTCGGTTCGTATGCCCGTACGGGTAGCGTGGCCTATGCAGGTGCGCTTGGGGGGGACTTGTGCGTGTGGTCAACGAGTTCTGAACACGGGTTTGTTGTTAATCCGGTCCGGCAGTGGTATTCGGAATCCCGTGTAATTGGATTAAATGGTGTTCTTCTCCGTATTCAAGTGACAGCAGCCATGAATTTTGTATGAGCTTGATGTCTTGAAGGTTGGAGAATTACTGGTTGACGATCTTAGCTTRMTTTGCTTTGGGGGGATGGSTATGCCGTTAACTATACCAGGCTTTCGCCTCTACTAGTGGGGGGAGAGTATTGTTATGTACGTCTACACAACTAAATAATTGCAACACGCAGTGAGGTGGTTAATCACTATACTTTATTTGAAGGCTATGTTAAATACAAAAAAATATACGGATTTGTGGATGCTCTGGATGCTCTGCTGGCTTGACAACAACTACCCGTGCTTTGGGGACGAGCACGGTCAGCCAGCCCGCTGTGGCTCCAAAACTGTTCACACAGCGGAATGCCTTATGCTGTTGTCGTGCTCGTTTTCACGGGTACGCGAATACATATGTACAATAATAATATAGACAGATATACATATATATAATAAAAACTGCTTATACTATGATKTAATTAAWTAACTATAATGAAATGGGTTTATAACACCCCCCAACTTATTTGAGAAATGGTGGCTAAATAGTTACCATTTTTCTCTTAAGCTTAATCAAGTATTTAATTCTGAGAGACTGCAGGCCAAGGCCGTGCGAGGCTGTACAATTTCATTTTTTACGTGAGGTTCTGCAATTTCGGGTAAATATATTTTCGGTATGTTACATCGATATTTAATTATTAAATACAAACTTATGATAACTAAAATAATTACAATAACATATAGTAACACRATATGATGCTCTGGTTTCACAAAAATGTTTTCAGTGGTATCCTTGTATAATTCATCCAATTGATTTAGTTCCTGAGCGTCCTGAGTTAATTTATTGAAATTTGTATGAGACATGTGATTACCGATTTTCTGCGGTTCGTGATATTCAATGATTTTCTTTATTTGTATAGAATAATTTAGATTTGGACTTTTGGGTATGAAATCTTTATGAACCTGTGTTCTTAAATGCCTAATCGGCGTGAGTATTGAGTAGTCGGTGTAGACTACGCAATAATCAGGGATTTCTAATTTTCCTACACCAGTTAGTACTATTTTATACGAGTCTTGACGACAAGTAACCGTGACTACCTGATGGGTACTATAATATAACCACGAGTTTTGATTTTGGAGCTTATGCCGTATGGCGGTATTCATACTCAAGTATCTGAGATTACATATGTCGGACAGTTTTTCTGGATTATTGTACAAGGATACCTCACAATTATCTGTTTTCACACATTTAGACATAAATTCTAATCCTACACATAATTTGTAAGAAAACAATGTTTTACAATTTATGTACTGAGATTCTGTTAAACTAAAATGGAATTCACTATTTAAACTTACTGCTAAATATTGRGTATCCGGCTTTATTAACACTATTTTTCCGGGTRCAACAGTTATTGGCAAAGGGATGTTATGGTAGAGGTTGGTATATTTGTTAATAACGGTATTTTGGCTATAAACATGAGGATCTGTTGAGAATATATTACGCTTAAGGTAGATGCTTTGAAAAGTTCGGGAAGTGCTAAATGGGATTCCAATGCAGGAAGTTCTAGTTTCGGAGGTAACGTTAGTTGAATTTCCTTTAGTTCATCATATAGTTCAGAGGGTGGATATACACTGGTCTGCATTAATCCGTTCAACGCGAAATTAATTATAGTCTGGAGATTCTGGGTTTCCCRTCCAAACTGATTGTAYAAAAGGGTCAGTGTAATCGTATGCTCATCAAATTTATTTTTTACGCTTAAAATGTCTATGGCATTCAWCATGCGCTTTGCTTGTTCGGATAGTCTGTCGACATAGGATTTTGTTTTCTGATACTCTGTTTCTAAGTCATGAATTGTAAAATTCACGTCTTGAACAACATATGAAACAACACGTAATTGTTCATTGGCAAGATGTAAGGATTTTTCGTTTGAATCTCTAAGGTTTCTGATATTCTTGTAGAAGAATTCAGCGTCCTCGTCTGAACAGACACCGAAAAGAACATTCGTTAACCTACCTACCGCATWAATTAGACCCCGCGTTCGTCGRGTTAGATGYCCTGAGGATTTCCTACTAGGTGCTAGSACTTTCATAACTRAATTGAAATTAAGTTCAATTTCATGGACAAATGGGTATGTTGTCTGCAGGAAAGTGACACAAGCTTCATTTAAAGTCTCGTCTTCCTGAATTTTTAAGAGTATACATGTGTCACTAGTTAACTGAAAGTAATTCTGGAGTGTCTTAAATTTAGTGTCGTACGTGGTTAGGTTGACGTATGTTACAAAATCCCAGTTAGTGTTAGAGGTTCTAAGCGGACTTATCGATTCAAAATAGAGACCTGTCGAGTTTCTGAGGGTAATCACATGGATGTTCTTGTCTATGGTCTCCGATCTTCCAGCTATGACTATGGTTAATATAATATATTAGGAGTTATTCGTGGAATTATCTTAACAAGTTCCTGTGTAGTCGCGTCGGCCTATTTCGTTTGAGAATAGTGACGTTGGGAGAATCCGTATGGACTTCTATCACAGGGTATGGTCCTAGCCATTTAGATGCTAATTTGCCCTTACTGGCTTTCTCTTGCACGAGAACTTTATCTCCTACGCTAACCGTTAGCGGTTGGATTTTCTGGTCATAACGGTCTTTGGATTTTAGTTTCGATTCGATTTATTATTTGGTTACCATTTGATGTGTCTCCTGCATGTGTCACTTCATCTCAAATTGATAATCTTGGTAATTATACTGAGGTTCTGGGGAGCGTGTTAGAGAATTTGGTACAACAAGAGGATATCCGTAAACTACTTCATAAGGCTGGTTTCCTGTGGATGAATGAACTGATGAGTTGTGGCAATACATGGCGTAAGGGATATAAGTGTCCCAATTCTTTGGATTTTTATTAGAGTAATTTCTTAAATATTCGCCTAGAGTCCTATGACTACGTTCTAGATTACCGTCGCTCTGTGGATGGTATAGTGTAATAGATGTCTGTGAGATTTTGAGAAGTTTACAAACCTCTTTGAAAACTTTGCTGAGGAATTCCGTTCCGCAGTCTGAGACTAGTGACTGTGGTTGCCCATGCAGGCATATGAATTGTGTTACAAAATGCTGTGACACAGTGTTGGCTTCACGATCCTTCATAGGTGAAGCCCACGCAAACTTTGAGAAATCATCTAACAGGGTCAAAATATATGAATTCCCACTATAAGATTGAGGTAATGGTCCACTATATCCATGAATACCTTTTCAAAAGGTTTTGCTGCTGTGGTCGTAATTACCATCGGTTCCCTGATAGTATGGTTGGGTGTCTTATTTACTTGGCAAGTCGGTCATTTCCGGATATACTGTCTGATCTGAGTTCTCATGCCTTGCCATTGGTACTGTTGGGATATTCTGTTGTAAGTACGGGTGTTTCTTTGGTGTCCTCCTAGAGGATTCTCATGAAACTCTTTGATGATCTGCTCTTTGTTGTCTTCAGTTAACTCGTCCTTGGTGTATACTTAAATATACACGGGAGAGTCACGGAAGATGAATCTCATAATCTTTCGTACCGTTTCCCACTTAAGCCTATCTAAACCGCAGCCTAAACGAGGACAAGCGAGTTTGGTAACTTGAAGTTCTTTGCAACGTACCTTGAGATTCTGAAGACTTTTAAATAGGTTTTCATACGATGGTCTTTGCCAATATAATTATTTTGTCAATAAATAGAAAATGTACCGGTTTCCTTCCTGTATTGAAACGATCTCCGTGACTGAATGATTTTGGAGTCGGAGTTCGTCGAGTCGTCCGTATTTGCGACTGAATTCCAAAGCTATAACCCTTATTCATTTTCATGTCTACTGACACGCAATGAGCTAAAGTAGTTCCCAACTCCGTTTCAAATATGTCTCCTATCAGCTCCTCGACGTTCAGCGTTGGTCCTAGCTGTGCGGTATCTGCTTTTAGAAATCCTGGATAAGTATCTGAAAACTCTATTTCTTCTAGATGTGTTTGATTTTCTTGAGGATCTGGAGGTTTTTGAGGTTCAGGAGTGTCTGATAGTTCTTGAGTTTCTAGTAAATCTGATGATCTGGTATTTCTCCTAGTAGAGACAACATGTATGCGGATCAGTGCATCTGCGTTCGTGTTATTTACTCCGGGTTTGAACTGGATAGTATATTGGTATTCTTCCAGTTTCAAATGCCATCGAGTTAAACGCGATCCTGGGTCTGTAATGTTGAATAACCAGACTAATGCACGATGGTTCGTTATTATGTTAAAATGTTGTCCAAATAGGTATGGCCTAAATACTTTTATTCCCCATACGATACTAGTCAGTTCTTTTTAAGYAGTATTGTAATTGATTTCAGCCTTGTTTAGTGCCCGTGATGCGAAAGCTATTGGTAAATCCTTCCCAATATGTCCTTGAGACAGTATACAGCCTATGGCGTAGTTGCTTGCGTCACACGTTAAATTAAATGGCTTTTGGAAATCTGGGTATTACAGAATCGGAGCTTGAGTGAGGAGGTTCTTCAATGTTTCAAACGATGTCTGGCATAAATCAYYCCACCTATAGGGAACGTTCTTCTAGAGTAACATTGTCAATGGTTTAGAAATTTGTCCATAGTTGTGTATAAATCGTCTGTAGTAACCTGATAGTCCAAGGAAGGACTTCACTTCCTTGACATTTTTTGGGACTGGAAAGGACTGGACGYCTTCAACCTTTTGAGGATCTGGTTTAACTCCTTCATCAGTTATTTTGTGGCCTAGGTAGGTGACCTCTTTCCTAAGGAACTCGCACTTCAGTGGTTGTAATTTCAAATTATACTGACGAAGTCTGCTAAAGATTTCTGTGAGTTTCTGAGAATGATCTTTGAGATCCCTTTAAGCCCTATGTCCATTTAAACCTGTCAGAACCTTATTCATTAGTCTTTGGAATGTCCCTGGTGCTCCTTTTAAACCAAATGGCATTCTTAAGAACTCGAAATGATCCTTGTCGGTGGAAAAAGCCGTTTTCTCACAGTCTGGTGGATTCATTGGTACCTGATGATATCCATGTGCTAAATCCAGCGTAGTGTAGTACTTGGACCTACCTAACTGRTCCAATATGTCAACGATGTTTCGAAGCGGAAATGTATCTCCTACGGTGACTTCGTTTAATCGACGAAAGTCAACACAAACATGATATTTTATTTTCCCGTTTATGTCCGGCTTCTTTGGGACAACCAATAGGGGTGCATTCCAAGGCGATTCACTATGTGCTATTAACCCTTCACGTTCAAGATCATCCATTTGATCTGCGATCTCTTGACGATGCCGTTGTGGTAACCGGTATGGTTTCACATGAATTGGAGGAATCGTCGTAGGTGTTCGTATTTCATGAGCTACGGCTGAAGTTGCTGTGATCTTGTCTCCTTCCAAGAAGAATACGTCAGAGTATTCGTGACAAACTTCGTGTAATGAAGCCTTTTCTTCCGAATTTAAATGCGTTGTGCGAAGGGCTTCATTCAACTGGGAGATTCGTTTCCCGTCAATCTGAGATTCTGATTTCTGTTAGGGCTGCATTGTGCGCACCAACGCTTCGTGATATGGTTCAAATTCAAGATTTTCGAGACTTGGGACTTGTAATCTAACGGTTTGTTCTGTTGGATTGATGAGTAGTATTAAGGCGTCCTTGTTCTGGATCTTAGTGACTACGTTGCTGCAAATGATTGAGTCCATTAGTTCTTGATTTGTTATTACTACTTTTTCWCCTTCTAACCGATCTTCAGCTCTGACTTGGACCAACGTTTCTGTACGAGGCTTAAGAACTATGTCTGATTTATCAGGAATAGTTATCTTGTTTGTTTCATAGTTAATGAGGATCCGATTTGATGCCAAGAACGGCCGCCCAAGAATACCATCATGTGGTATTGGAAAATCGGAGTGCACCACTTGGAATTCTGTGACGATAATATTTCCTCCTAATTCAACATCTTTTTTTTTTCATATGAATCGAGTGCTGGAGGTGGAACCGACGCTAGTCATTTCACCCCCCAGAGCCCATCGTTTATTGAATAAAGTCAAAGGAACAAATAATAAACATTATAACATAAACAATATCATTACAAAGTAAGGGGCCTCTAACCCCTTGAGTTCGGCCTTCGGCCCACATGGAATAAGCTTAACTAGGTTAATGAACAGCTGGAACCTGAGCTTGCTGATGGCGTCTCTCTTCGGACTCCTTCTTCTTCATAACTTCTGTGATGAATACACTGACTGCGCACCAGTTTTCTTTCAACCGCAGCATCAGAGAAACTAGATTTTGCGGACAGATGTCGGCACCCAACAACGTATTCAGACGGAACCTTGCACCATACCAGGCATCACAGACGAATATGGTGTGGAGCGCGTCATCAGTGGGAGCATCGCAGAACCAACACACCGTGCTATTCAGCTTACCGATTCTATTCAGGTAGGAGGGAAAGCAACTGTGACCCGACAAGGCTTGAGTTCCTAATTCAACCACTTTTTTTTTTTTTTTACATGTGATACCGGGGCATAGGGTGGTACTGTCCTTCCAGACAGTTATTCAACATCTAGATAGGCGAGTCGTAACCTAACCTAAACTAGGGAGTTCTGCGACAGTGTGAGGGCGCGGCTCCACGACAGTTGATCGGATGGAGATTGCCGGCGCTTTCGCGACGGATTACCTGAGACTTCGGGCGCTGGTGGTCCGACGATCTGGGGYGATGGTGCCCTGTTGGAAAGTCGTAAAAATGACTGTTTTGATTGGCGCTGTTGCCGTCGATAGTTGAGGAGGTTGGCTTGGACAACCCGGGCGCTGTTGCCCTATTGAGTAGTCGTGAAAACGACTGTTTGCTTGGCGCTGTTGCCTGTCGATGGTTGAGGGATTCGCTAGGACCAACCTGGGTGCTGGTGCCCTGTTGCAGAGTCGTAAGAACGGCTGTTTTCGTTGGCGCTGTTGCCTGTTGAGGGTCGCGACGGGAGCTGCGTAGACTGAAGAAATAAGAAACTGCGGTGTAGCTGCCACGGACGCTGGACGTTGAATGGTTGACGATCTTTTGCTTTGCTTTGCGTTGATGGTGGGGGGGTGGCTATGCCGTTAACTATTCCAGGCTTATGCCTCTACTAGTGGTTGGAAGTTTACTTGGAAGGTTTAGTTATTTTATTGATTTACCCAGGTGAGTGGGTAGGGTTTRAGTATGCGTTTGGTAGTTGGAGGAGTGTGAGTTTTGCATAGAAGTCGGATGTGGTCGTGATTTGAGAAAGAGTTTTTGTAGAACATTGAATTGGTTTGGGAAMGAATAGAATTTTGAATAGATTTGAAATTAGTGGATTTTAGAAGGAYCGAGTTTTTAACGAAGGAAGGCAGACCCGTTATAGTGCGTATGCCGATGTTTTGGACGGATTCAATGCGTTTCCATTGTGAGGGACCTATGAAGGGAGCCCACGAAGAGCCAGCGTACGTTAGGATTGGAGC